AACAGAATTAAGTTAGAGGATCAAGAGATGGCTTGAGAGATTTAAGGTTTGGTAAAACGTTATAAGTGGGTATAGGGGGTGGTAGGATGTGAGCAGTAAAGGATTAATGATAAGGGTTTTCATTTAATGGCTTTTAGATGGTGGTGGTTTTTAGCTTTGAGAATAGAGGCGATACAGTCTTCTTTTTTGTGGGGGTAGGGTCTTGCTCTGTGGTTCAGACTAGCCATGAGCTTTCTTCATAGCCTAGGCTGGCTTTGAACTCATACTGTGGCAATCCTCTTGCCTCAGCCTCCCAACTGCTGGGGTTACAGGTGTACACCACCGTGCCTGGTGTGAAGTTAGATTTTTTTGGGGGGTGGTACTGGGGATCGATCTCAGGTCCTTGTGCTTGGGAGGCAAGGGGCGGCACCACTGAGCTAAATCCCCAGCCTATGAATAGCACTTAGCAAGTGAAGATTTGGGAATTCTCAGAGGGTCTTAGGAGTCCTGCTGCTAGTACCTAACAGTTACTACTTATGGTAGGACTGGTCTTCAAGGTAGACTTTGAGATCCAGGCCATGAGGATAAGAACACTTGCCTTAGTTTTGATACTGTTAGTTACTGATGCACTTTGCAGGGCAGTGGTGTGGTGAGGAAGCCAGGTTGAAGTGAATCTTTTTTTTTAATTTTGCGGTACTGGGGATTGAACTCAGGACCTTGCACTTACGAGGCAGGTGTGGTGCCACTGAGCTAAATCCCTGGTCCATGCACTGAGTTGAGGAGGAAGGATACTCAGTACACAGCCACTGGTGGCGTGCTGCATTAAGCGGGCTCTTCATACAATTAGAGACTGGGGGAAGCTGTCGCATTCTACAAGAGAAGATTGTCTGGAGGAGATAAAGGTCACTGGCAGGCTTTTAAGGAGAGACATTACCCAAATATAAGTATCTGGGTAGAGGACTTGAAAGAGAATTTGTTGACTACTGAGTCATTGTACAGCAGTTTTTCTTATGTAGCCACTATCTTTTCTTAGTTTGAGTCACTGTTAGCTCTCTTCAATCTCCTCTTCACAGCAATTCTAGGAATCTGATTATGCTTAGGTCTTTGCCTGTAAGAAGTGGGCTTCGTTGGAATGAATTGGGTGGCAAAAGCACCTGAAACCTTGCTGTGAGCAGCATTTGTTGAGATTAAGAACATTAGGCTACAAGGCGTCATCCCTGGGCAGATGTGGTGGCTGCTGACACTGAATTTATAGGCACTCGGGAGAGTATTTAGTTGTTCTCTCCAGTGGTAGAAACTGTTGGGAACCATATTGGCTCTGTAGAAGGGAAACAGTTTAAAATAATTTGTAATGATACTATGTATATTTTTCCTTCCTTTCTGTATAAACTATACTATTGGAAAACTAAATCCAATAGTACAAAGGGTAAATTTCTCTTTGCACAAGTAGTCCAGCAGTAATCTAATGACAGTGGCTATTTTAAATACTATTTTGAGACCTTATTGTTGGAAAGATCATGGTCTTTTTAGTTATAAAAACTAATTGGACTCTGTTCTGGTGGCAATGACTGTGACCAAGATATTTAACCTCTAAGCTTCACTTAAAAAAAATATTATTAGACAGGGTCTCATTATGCAGTTCAGGATGGCCTGGAACTCACTGTGTAGCACAGGCTGGCCTTGGATTTGTGGCCATCCTCCTGCCTCAGCCTCCTTCCTGAGTGTTGGGATTACAGGCATGCATCACCATGCAAGGCTAAAATATACTGGAATTGTCATGATGTTCACGTGAGAGTAAAAGAGCTAATATGTGTATCAAATTCCCAGCTTCGGTTCTTAGGGGATGTTAATTTGACTTTTTCAAGAAGGAGCCCAGCTTTACAGGCCTCTGCTGGGAGGCAGTATCCTGGAAGGTCCTTCAGCATTGTTTGGATCACTCTGTTGTTTTCCTACTTGGTTGTTTTACCTGTCTTATGGGAGTAGAATTAATTAATCTGTAAGCCAGAGGCTTATTATAAAGAACACACACACAAGAAAACAACCTAGTGGTAGTGAATACTGCTAGCCCCTGATTATGATCTTTTTAGGTACTAGAATCAGGGCTTCTTGGAGAAGTGGTTGAGTCCACTTTTGAGGCAAGAAATAATACAAGAGAACCTGGAACATAATGACATAGCAGATAGGAAAGAAACTATTCAACACCACTAGGGCTGTGTCAGAAGGATCTAGGAGCAAAACCAGGGTATCCCACTGGTTAAAGATAAGACAGTCAACAATGTTAAAGCAATTACACAGAAGTAAATTAGTGAAAAAAGTTTGTTACTTTTGGAGGATACTAGTGAACCAAGCTGTTACTTTGAAAACTAGTTAAAAAAGAGTCGAGGTCTTTCCTTTCCTAACCATGCCAGTATAGTTTCTTTTTGTGGAAATAGTCTAGCAAGTAAAGATTGCTAGATTGGGATCACTTAGCAGCAGCTTTAGTGAGCGTAAAGCATTTTGTGGCTGGTAGCATTGCTAAACAACCACGCTGCATACCTCCCATTGGAATAACATATCACCATGTGTAAAATATGCCAAAAGGGCATCAGGTCTCTGCACCCAGTTTCCAGTTTACATGAACTGAAGAGAACAGAAACATTTAAAGATGTGTCATGGATAAAATCAGCAAATCCAGATGTCTAAAAATTGAGACCTCGTTGGAAAGATCATAATCTTTTTTTAGTCATAAAAACTTAGATTGGAGAGCAGGGGATTTGGCTCAGTGGTTCCACTGCCTGCCTTGGGAGCACAAGGGCCTGAGTTCAATCCCTGGTATTGCAAAACTTAGATTGGAATCTTTGTTCTGCTGGTTATGACCATGCAGAAACCTAACATTTCCCTGAAAATAGGATCAAGAGGTGTAGACAGGTGGTAAAAAGAACCTGTTTAACTGTGGAGTGGTGGTTTTCAGCCTCAGTGATTTGTGCAAGAGTACTTGTTACATGATTCTTGGTGCTTTTCCATATGTTCAAAATTATCCATAGTATGTTTTTTTTTAACATAGGATGAGAAGATAGAAACAATGGAAAAGAATTCTCCATTTATCACCTCAATAATTTTTTTTTTAAGTTTTTTGAGGTAGGGTCCTGCTTTGTATCCAGGCTGATCTTGAATCACTATGGAGTCCAGGCTGCCCTCAAACTCATGGCAGTCTTCCTGCCTCAGCCTTAGCCTACTCAGTGCTAGGATTACAGGTGTGAAACACCATGCCTAGCTAATAATAATGTATATTCTTTTTTTAAGTGTTTTTTCTACATTCAAGCACATTTTTATATTTACTGGCTGCGTGCCCTTTTTTTTGAGACAATCTCACTATGTAGTTCAGGCAGGGCTTGTATTCACAGCGATCCTCCTGCCTCATCCTCCCAATTGTTGGAATATAGGCATGCACCACCACTCCTGGCACATGTACCTTTTTTTTTCCTTTTGAGATGGTCTCTCTGTAGTTCAGGCTGGCCTTGAACTCACTTATGTAGCCCAGGCTGGCCTCAAACTTGCAGTAATCCTTCTGCCTTTGCCTCCAGAATTCTGGGATTATAGGTGTATACCATTTTTAATAATAAACAGATATTTACTGTGTTTTACCTGACCTTCATGTTATCTCTTAGTATATGATTTAGTGGATTATTACTCCTTTTTTGTTTTTGTAAGTAAAGCTTAGCAATTCAGAGCTGCATTTTAATGCTTTTGTTGAATTTTCTTTTAGTCTAAACCACTAAAAGTGCCTTCGGCCCTTTCACCCTGGGTATTTATTACCTTGTAGAACTTGTGGCAGCCCTGCATTACCAGCTACTCCCAGCATTCTCCCTATTGCTTTTTTTTCCCCCCTTCAGTACCAGGAATTGAATTCAGGACCAAGCGTGGTGCCACTGAGCTAAACCCCCAGCCCTCCCTCTTGCTTTTACACAGTTCTGCAGTACTTTTTGCCTAGGCTTTATTTTTATTTATTTATTTTTTTGTGGTATTGGGGATTGATTCCAGGGCCTTTTACTGAGGTGCATTCCCATCCATTCTCCTCCCAACATTTTTTTCCTAATTTCAAGAGAATCTCACCAAGTCGCTATGTTGCCCAGTCACAGCTCAAACTTCTTGCAGTCCTTCTGCCTCACCCTCCAAGAATTCTAGTTGTTTTTTCTTTTTATAAAAACATGTTATTTTAAAATTAAAATGGTCCCTTTTCCTTGTGAGTAGCTTGGAATATACTTAAAAATTTTTAATAGTCAATATAGTTTTTGTTCCTTCCTTATACTTCACTGCATTTTAAACTCCTTTACAGTGATCATTAATTGCCTTTATTAATATGTCATAAAATATAGGCATATAAAAACAAGTTATAATAAGCACTCATAGCTGAAAAAACAATATTCAGGTATAGTTAAAGCTGGCTTTAGACTCTCTTTTGCTGATTTAACCTTATGCTTTTACCAGTGTGTATTGTATGTCTATTAAGAGTATAAACCTATTTGTGTTTATATATTTTAGATAAATGTGATCTTTGTGGTAAGCTTTTGTATTTTGCGCTTTTTTTTTTTAATGTCACAGTACTTTAAAAAATCTTTTAGGTATTACTGAAAAGACAAATGCCTATGAAATAACTTACTAAATCATTCTTTGAGGTAGTGGTTTGAATTTATAATACAGTTTTTATGACTAATGAGTATAAGGTGGTATCTCACTTTTGTGTAGTTTGATAAAAATGTCCCCAGCCGCCAAGCTTCTCAGGCACATGATATGGTACTTTTTATGTTAGGAAATTGCCACCACTCAGTGAAATGAACTCCTTTCTTATCGAACTCCTTGCTCCTGCTAAGTGTGACAAGCAGGTTGTATTAAAGGTAAAATCTTTGATACCTTTAGCTGCTGGGGTTTCTTTCTGCTCTTCTCATGAACAAAAATGAAAATTTCCTATGGTGTATTACATAAGTCTGCAGTACCAGAGTAGTTGCCACTTCACTTTATATAGTCTCCTTTTCATGTTGTAGGCTCCGAGCTCTGTCCAGTGGTGGGAGTATTACGTCCCCTCCTCTTTCTCCAGCATTGCCGAAGTATAAATTAGCTGATTATCGCTATGGCAGAGAAGAGATGTTAGCACTTTTCCTTAAAGACAACAAGGTAAGAAAGTAGGACAAGAGTTCAAAATTGTGAGTGAGACTTAGGGTCTGTACAGTTATGTATTGATCTATGAAAAAAAATCTTTTATCTATTTATTGGCATATATTTATTTTGTCTTCCTTGCCTTTATCCAGCATTGAAACCTACAATAGTTAACAGCAGCTCAGTGTAACTTATCACCCCGTCCCCCCTTAAATGGTCTCCTGTATAATGCAGACTAGCCTCACACTTGCTGTGTGCCCTGAGTTGGCCTTGAACTTGCAGTCTTCCCTTGGCCTCCCAGGTTCTGGGATTATAGATGTGCAGGTACTTTTATTCCTTAGAGAGACTTTGGCTATCACGACAGGAGCAGTCGGTGCTAATTGTCTCTTGTCCTCTGTTTCTGTCCAAGTTTGATGGCTGAGAAGTGAATTTCTCGCTTCTCTTCATTGTCTTATCTTGCTTTTTACTTAGAAGCAAGGAACAGGAAGAACAGCAGCTTCTCCTTTCCCTTTTTGAGTTCAATATAAAGTTTTCAGTAGAGAAAAAGCTTAATATGTATTACCACATTTGCAGCACTTATGAATGATCAGACTGAAGTAGTTTATAAAGTAGACTTTTATTACCTAATGAGAAATAATACTTTCTATTTTTGTCAATATAGTTTGTTTCTACTTTATTAATGGATAGAGAGTCTTCAATTTTAATGATAGTTGCTAAGGGCAGATACAGTTGCTTAAGAACTCTTCTTAGCATCTGCTTTAAGTTAAATGTGCAGATCTTCACTGCTGCACTGTGTACTCTATAGTACCAGAGTTAATGCCATATCCAGATATGGTAGTCTCAGAGGAGGAGAGGGACTAGGACTAGGGTTTTTAGTTTAGTTTATTTTTTATTTTTTGGGGTATATCAGGGATCAAACTCAGGACCTTGCATTTGTGAGGCAGGCTTGGTGCCACTGAGCTAAATCTCTGGCCTTAGGTTTTTCAGTATTTGACTATCAAAATGTGTAAGTACTACGTAATTAACAGAAGTTAATAATGACTGGATAAGCTTCAATTGGTATTGACAATAATTAGTAATAGATGAACAGTAATGGATGAGTCTTTTTGGGGGGCGGGTACTGGAGATCGAACTCAGGTCCTGTGCTTGCAAGGCAGCCGGCAGAACCACTGAGCTAAATCCCTGGCCCTGGATGAGTCTTTTTTCTTAGTTATCTCTTAAAGTTGGAAGAGTAGCACTGCTTTCATAATAATGTTTTTGTCATACAGATACCTTCAGACCTTCTGGATAAAGAATTTCTGCCTATCCTACAGGAGGAACCCCTGCCACCATTGGCTCTAGTACCCTTCACAGAAGAAGAACAGGTTTGTGCCTAACTCTGATCCTCAGGTTGAACTCCCACTCCTCACTAAGGTGTGAAAATAGCAGGCAACTACGTATGCCCTAAGGGTTGTCCAGAGTCTTCATAAGCCTGTTTTCTTCTTACTGTGTCTTGGTGGGTGCCTTTGAGTTGCCAAGGTTTTCCATTAATGTCTAAAGCTGGTGAGTACTATGTTGAGATAGGAGAGTGCTTTTAGACTTGTAAGGATGGTGGGAACTATCCCAACTAAGTGTTATTTTGAGGGAGGCAACATCATCTTTTCAAAAAAAGTTTTTCAGAAGTAATAGCCAACCTGAATTCTTATCATTGTCTGCATTTTACCAAGAGAAGAAAATGTAGATCTCTACCTCAAAACATACCTGGTACTCCTCTATAGGAAATCTTGGGTCTTGTCTATTCACAGTGTACTGTGTCCTGTAGAAAGACATATAAAAGGAGCTTATTGTGATTATAATGTGAGAGACAAATGAATTTTGTTGGCATGTTGGAATGCCGTTTTATTTTTTATTAAGTTTATTGGTACATTTTAGGTGTATAATATGGTGGCATTCATCATTGGGAATTTGTACCTTTACATGGTATATCTTGATTCTTACTTATTTCCCCATTATCCTGCCCTGTCTTCAGCTCCTCCACCTCTTCCTACTTATGAAGACTTTGTTTCTGTTTTTTTCTTTTCTCATATTTATTCCTTTTCCTTCTTTCTTTTCGTCTACTCTTCCTACTTCCCCTCCCCCTTTGGACCTTTTCTTCCTATTCACATTATCTGTTATACATTTTTATCCTTATTTACACTTTCATTTGGCATGCCACTTTATTTACTTTTTTTGGGATTGAACTCAGGACCTTGTTTTTGCAATGCAGGTGGCAGAACCACTGAGCTAAATCCTGAGCCCTGGCATGCCCCTTCAAATGAAAAATCAGCTGTGTGTGGTGGTGCACACTTGTAATACCAGTAGTCAGGAGGCTGAGGCAGGAGGATCACTAGGCCAGCCTGAACTATATACAAGAGAGACCCTGTCTGAAAAAAAAACAACAAAAACAAAAATATTATGACTTCTGGCCAGGCGTGGTGGCGCACACCTGTAATCCCAGCTCTCCGGAGGCTGAGGCAGGAGGATCGCTGTGAGTTTGAGACCAGCCTGAGCTACATAGTGAGTTCCATCCAGGTCAGTCTCACTACATAGTGAGACCCTGTCTCAAAAAACCAAAAAAAAAAAAAAAAAAAAAAAAAGACTTCTGAATTACTCTTTTTAAACAGCCTTATTGAGACATAATTCACATAATTATTACCCTTTTGAAATATATAATTGAATGGTTTTTAGTACATTTACTGAGTTGTACAATTGCTCCCACTATCATTTGTAGAATATTCTCATCATTATGCTTTCTGATGACCTTGGGTGTTTTCTGTATATTTGTGACATGTTTTGGATGAAGAATCCACTCTATATAAAAGAGAATCTTGATAAATCAACTTTTCTATTAGAAGTGCATTAAAAATGATGTGATATTAATACTTGATGATTTTTACCAACATACTTTCATAAAATAATTTTGTTCTGTTTATGTCTTCTTCCAAATCGGGCTTCTTCCATCTTTATTCCTGAAATCCATTTAGAGTCATTACCAGACATTTCCATTAACCAGAAGGAATTTATTGTTGTAAAGAAAATATGGCAAAAAGGGGTCCTGTTTCCACTGATTGCTGAAAAATTTCTGTCAGATATCACATTGATACCTGACTACATTGCAATTCAGTTATTTCAAATAGACAGAGAATATTTTCATAAACATCAGTTTGTTTACCATCAACATATCAGATCTTAAGAGTGCAACATACTCGTCTTTCTTTTTAAAGAAATAGTATTTTTCACACACACTTGAAACTGCTTGGGGTATACCCTTCTCCTCAGAGATTACCATGATTTGGTTTTTCTTCACTTTTTTTCTTTTGAGACAGGGTCTTGCTTTGTAGTTCAGGCTGGTCTTGAACTTACTATGTAGCCCAGGCTGGCCTCGAACTTATGGTGATCCTCAGCCTCTCAAGTGCTGTGATTACAGGTGTGTGCCACTATGCCTGGCTTCTTCACAGTTTTATATTTTCACCACATATTTAACAATGTGCCATAAAATAGTTTCAGGGTTTCAGAAAATAGTTTATAGGGCTATAAATTTTATGTTGAAGATAGTATATTTTTATTCTTCAGCCTTTCTCTCTGCATTGATTCTTGGATTTATCTTTGTTGATACCCATAGCTGTGGGTTATCTATGCTGTATAATATTTTCAATATTATGTGAAAAATCCACAATTTTGCCAGTCTCCTTTTGTTGGCTGTTTTCATTTTTTTCCTATTTCACATTATGCTGCACTGACCCTTTCTATCTCTCACCCCTCTTTGGGCTATGCTAGGAATTGAATCCAGGGCCTTGTGCATGCCAGTCATTTGCTTTACTGCTGAGCCTATAGCCCAGCCTCTGTAATGATTATTCTTATAATGGGTTGTAATAGTGGAGTCATTGGGATTTTAATTCTTCGCCCTTTAAAAATTTTTTTTCAGGCCAGGGATTTAGCTCAGTGGTTCCACCACCTGCCTTGCGAGTGCAAGGATCTGAATTGGATCTCTGGAATAAAAAAAAATAATAATAATTTTTTTTCTTTTTATTTTTTGGTATTTTGAGATAGGGTCTCACTATATGGTTCAGAATGGCCTTGAACTCATTACGTAGCCCAGGCTGGCCTTGAACTCGTGGCAGTCTTCTGGCCTCAGGCTCCTGTGTGCTATAGGTGTGCATCACTGTAGCTGACAGTAAAACAAACATTATTAATATGTGCAGCACATGTAGTTTGCATTCACCTTAGGGAGTAGGTGCACGTACATAACACAATTTGATTCTTTTATAACCCCTCCCCTTTTCTAGGTATTGACAGATTGCTCTTCATAGTGGTTGACATCACTTTGTACTCCCATCAACATTGTATGAGAGATCTTTCCAGCTCTTGTTTTTTAAATTTTGGCTAAAGTGAATAGTTGTGATTTTTTTTTTCTTTTACTAGTTATTTTTATTTAGGGTTTCAGTGCTGAGCTTATGGGACTTCATGGTTTTTATTTTTTTATTTTATTTTTTTTCAGTACTGGGGATTGATCTTGGATCCTTCCACTGGCAAGACAGGTGATGGAACCACTGAGCTAAAATCCCTGGCTCCAATTTTTTTTTTTTTTTTTTATAAAAAATCCCTGTCCAATTTTTTTTTTTTTTGTACTGGGGATTGAACTCTGGACCTTGTGCTTTTGAGGCAGGTGGCAGAACCACTGAATTAAATCAAATGCCTGACCCTATGGTTTTTAATTTGCTTGTGTCCTTTGCCCATTAGTTTTTTTTGGTTTTTCTAGTTGATGTTATGATTTCTTAATATCGTCTTTAAAATCAATACTTTTAAAGATACTTATTTTAATATACATGTTATGAGGATGCTTCTTTTTTCCCCCCAACCCCCGTGAGGTTGCTTCTTTTGCCTCAATATCCAGAAATTACATGGTTTGCCTGTTTTGATGTAGTAGGGAGTGATTTGGAGCACAGTCTTGAGACCTGTTGATCACACATGTAGGTAGAACAGCTGTGCTAAAGGGCCTGAAAAATATATTGGTGCACTCTTTTCATTGGGCTCACTTTTAAGGACTATGCTTCCAATAGTTCCTCAGGTAATACAACTGATTCATTTAGAGTTAAATAAATTCTCAGATATAAACAAACTCTTTAGAAGGGATGTTACTTTTGAAACTTTGATATGTAAAACAGTTCTATGGGTGCACATATTTTCTCAAGGTTAAACAGTTTTGAACCACACAAAATAATTGAACAATTAATTATTACTGTTATTCTTAGCTCAGTGATTGTTTTATGTGTTTAATTTTTGTCTTCTGCTCCTGGCTAGTCAGCTTCTTTACTACATACTATGTGTCTGTCTTCCAAGGTGTTTACTGCAGAGGTGGACAGCAGTGGCTCCATTAATGCCAGTTTCACAGTCAAGGATATTTGGCATTTTCAGTAATTCTTACAGTCAGGCAGGTTCATGGTTCTGTGACATTTTAGTAGTATTTTAATTTCTCTGGTCTCTTCCAATGACCTGCAGAACTTTCTTCATTAATAAGCCAAAATTGCACATTGAAAATACAACTTCTAGAAATATCAACTGAGTGTAAACAGAGTAACCTTGAAGAATTCACGAGGGCTGCTAAGATGCCAGGAAAGTGAAGGAATATAGAAATGGATGCTCCATTGATTTGTTAAAGATCATATCTGGGTTGCATCTGCTTTGCAATCATGATTATGGATGGGAACTTTCTATATCATGATATTATAAGATATCCTGGATATTCTAAATAATTTTCATCTTTGTGTTTTCTGATATGTGAAGGATCAGTGTTAACCTGAACCCAGCTGATGTGAAGATTTGTTGGTGGCTGCTTTGTTTTATTTTAAAGGTTATTGGACAGCATGTGTTCTTAAAATCATTTTCATTGAACTATTTTGATAACATTATGTCTAATACAGTATTGGAAGGTCTAGCCAGGGTATTTAGTGAGTAAAATACATCCACATTGGAGAGAAGAATTAAAACTATGTTTGTAGATGTTGTAATCCTATTTATACAAAATCTAAAAGAGAATGAAAGTGGCACAGTTGTAAGGTACAAGATCACACAAAAATTAGTTGTGTTTCTATAAACTAGTGAGGAATGACTTATAAATGAAATTAAAACAATTCCTTTTTTTTTGTACCAGGGATCGAACTTGGGCCCTTGTGCTTGCAACTCAGGCAGTGGAACCACTGTTTATTTATTTATTTATTTGGTACCGGGGATTGAACTCGTGTCCTTGCTCTTCTGAGACACTTGGCAGAATCACTGAGCTAATTCCCTGGCCCTGTCCATTTATTTTTTTGAAGGAAAATATTTATTCATACATTTTAGATACATA